AAGATTGACATACCAATGTTCTGCTTGAAACTTAATCAACTAAGGCACTTGATATTCTGTTTAATCAGAATTTATTGGTGCTTGCCACTACTAGGAAAACTTCAGACAAAGCCATTGTGTGCAAGACTTTAAAAAATTGTGTACAAAGACAAATATACAATTATGTGACAACCTCTATAATAAAAGATTGTTCAAAGTTATGAAATGTATCACCTTATTCACCTGTACACAAACTTTGATTAACAAATCAAACTTAATGCTACAGGGCTTTTCATTTAAACTGCTAACAATCTACCTGTTAGTACTGGGAAGAGATGGAGTACTTAAGAAGCCATTGTCCTTAATTCAGAGAGAGCATAGATCACAGGTAGTTGAAATTGTAAAATTTGATGATTAGGGGTTTGTTTCTTTGAGGGAAGGGGGGAAGAAATCAGTTGGAGAAGTAATGTATGCCCTGTCACCTTGAGTGCTAATTCTGCTTCATGTTAAAAGGATCCAAAACAGCAATGCTGTGAGACATATTGATGGTGAAAGGATTTTTCTGAAGACAAATTAACAAATCTTCTAAAATAAAGGGCTTCTCATCTTAGAAAGTACTGAATCTTATAAGACTATCTAAATGTAAGTGACTTTTAACTGTACCAATATCATGTTTTTATAAACTTTTCCTATTCTTGCACTGTTTAAAATAACTGCTACAGCCTAAAATACTCTGGTCAGTCTCATGGGTCCTTGTTAACATGAAACAATGAAGCTATTCTAAGGCAAGGAAATTGTGTACTTGCTGTAATGCCTGTAGGTGATTTAAGTCAATGCAGTTTAATAGTGGGAAGGTATTCAAATTGTGGGATATACTTTAGCTAAACATTGCTTAATTTCAGGCTTGACTTAGTAAGAATAAAACCAGAATTAGGTAACTCAGTATAATAAAGGAAAGGGATACAGATTTCCTTGTTGAAAATAAGATTGTTTATCTTTAAGAGCAAGTTTAGCTTTTGCAGAGGAGAGACAAAGGAATAACCCTAGTGAATAAAAGTAAGTGCTAGTTTCATCAAATCTGTTCAAGAAACCTGGGTATAATATATCCCTTTCTATTGTTTTAATGCTGTTGTAATTTTATTGAAACAATAGCCCTGAATATGTGGATTGAAGTAGATTTAAAAAGTGTATTTGCTCCCATTACACTAGAGATGAGCAACCTGCAGTCCCTTGGGTTCTGTATGTGGCCCTGAGACTTTTTGTTGACCATTATCCATGCACATGGATGCCACAGTCTCCTGGTTTTCATCCATTTTTTATTACAAAAATGATACACTTAAAGCCAGGGTGTGTGCTGACTGCACACAGCATGGTAAAAGCCATACGTTCCCTCTGATCCAATCAAAGTGCTGCTACACGGTTCAATTAGCACACCCCACAAATCTGAGGTATGCAAGTGCAGTTAGCAAAACTCTTATCCTTGGAGACTGTGGTTACAACCATCTTGAAGACCACTCACTAGACCCTTGATATTTTTACATGTTCTACAATGTGACATTGATTTAGTCTACATTAGCAATTTGTAGAACATGTGATTATGCTAGTTAGGAGCAGCAATGTCAGTTTATATTTTTACCACAGCTACCTGAAAGACCATATTGCTTTGTTCATTGGAGCCTTGTCAGTTAAGTGTATTAAAACTATCCACTTGTGCAATCTTTCAGTCTTAAGGAGTAGAATTCTTGGTACAGGAAGAGGTTAACACAACTTTCCCTGAATACATTTGGGTAATGCTGGTGCTATAATAAGTTACATATGTTCAAAAACTAATAACTTAATACAATTATTACAAACACTGCAAAAAAGTTTAGGGAAGGCAGTAATGCTGATGTGCTGTTCATTATATAAAACTGTATGGCAAGGTAAAAGCAAGCTTGGTTGGCTAGCTTACAGTAGCTGCCACTCAGTTGGTTACAAACATCACATCCTGAATTGCACTTGAAGATTCCTCTATGTACATCTGGTTCCATATGTGCACATTTTGTACAGCAGTATATTACACACAAAGCTAGTTTTAACAAATAGATGCCCTTGGAGAAAAAGTACCTCTTATAAATAAGGCATACAAATTATGTTTAACAGAGATGGCTAACTTTCCCTTTATGTGTGATGAATTTCATGAAACATTAGCTCCCGAGGTATACTAGTTTCTGGACCATAGAGTTTGCATGCTCTTCTTTCAAAGGCAGCTACCATCTGCTTAACAACTTCATCAAAAAACAGAGTAGCAAGTTGAGAGTGTAGAAGTGAACGAAACTCAAAAGAAACCTGTTTAAGAAATCAAAAAGAAATATTGGTCTAGCATCTACCATTTGAGTAAAATCTTGCTTTATCAAGTGTCAAGCTTCATTTACTTAATATGAATTATAGGGGAGAGGTGGCTTGTATTTTTGAACGGGATCTAGCACAGTTAAAAAAAAGCTTTGTAAAGAGGAAAGCTTTACGTATAAAATGTACTGGTATATACACCATTCCAAATTTCTCACGTGAAAACTCAAGCCATTCAACCCAGTTTATTTTGAGCATGTTTCATCTGTACTGCATCCCAGAACAGATTAATATGAAAGTTATACAAGTTATAAAAACAGAGGCAAAAGCATGCAGTTGAAATTACTGAGGAAAACAGATACCTTTTCACATTTTTCTCATGTATTTGCATTGGTCAGAACCAGGTGAGTGAGGTTAAGGCCAGCGACCATTTGGAGAGAGAAAAATTTAGCTAGATTCTGAAATGAAGAGGGATACTCTGACTTGTGTGGTTTAAATAATACTATATATCTGCATTTAAAGCAAGGAAAGAATATGCCAAGTGGGGAGGGAAACCAAATACTACTTTTCCCTGTCTGCAGTGATTAAAGGCAACAGCCTTAACTTTGCTGCAATCTATATATGCCACTCACCTTCTGCTCTTAAGTATTCTAATTAGTGAATTGTTTTTTCCCCTTAAGCACAAAATAAGAACTGATTTTACAGAGCTGATGTAAAAGTTATAAGCAACAAGTCCTAAGACTACTACTAGGGATGTTAAATATCAATTAATTGAATAACCAATAAGAATTCATCTGGTGAATTGACTAGTCAACTATTCTATAGTCCCTGGGGCTGGGACTGGCAGCCAGTACACTCTGGCCCCACTCCCAGGGAGGCCCATGCCACCCTGCACTGCTGCCTCTGTATCAGATGCAGATAGCTGATAGAGGCAGCAGCTCCTGTCCAGGGGTGGCTCTGAGCTCCTGGACCTAGCATGACCCAAAGCTGAGCTGCCTGCCCGCCTGACTCCTACTACACTTTAAATGCAGAGCTGCAGCAGGGGTAGATCCCAGACTCCATACAAGCTGGGACTGAGCCAGGATGCTGGCCAGCCTGCTAAAAATGTTACTGGGGGAGGAAGTGTGTGTAGTCTATAGCAGTATTTCTCAACTTTTTTTTTTAAATAAAGTACCCCTTCAAAAAACATTTAAAGTACCCTCTTTTTAAAAAAAAAATTAAGTACCTACAGTTTGACAGGTTTTTTTTCCTACCATTGCAACACATTTGTTTAAACAACTTAATCATAGCCGGGTGGGTGATGAAATTTTTGGGTATAAAAAGTACAAAAAATAATAAAGGGCTGTAAAACTTAACACAAATTCAGTTTTCTCCAAATTTCAGTTGTGTTGACATTCCCCCCGCCCCCCAGCTTCCTCTCAAGTACCCCAAAGTGTACATATCACCTCAAACAGCTCCTGGAAGCAGTAGTAGCAAGTACAGGGCCACATATGCCTCCAAGTCCCTTCCCCAGCCTGGAGCCTTTTCCACACCCCAGAACCTGCACTCCCAGCAAGAGCCCACAACCCTTCCTCCACACTCCTGCTCCAGCCCTGATCCCCCCACCATCCTCCAAAGCCCTCAGTCCCAGCCCAGAGCACTCTCATGCACCCCAAATCCCTCGTCCCTAGTCCCACCCAGAGCCCACACCCATCGCTGGAGCCCTTCACACACTTCAACTCCATGAACATTCATGGCCCTCCATATAATTTCCATATCCTCGTATGGCCCTCAGGCCAAAAAGTTTGCCCACCCCTGCTTTAACTATTTAAATATTCTTGCATATAAACCAAAATAAATTCAGTCTAAATTAAGAATTATCAAAGATAAATTAAGCTTCAGTAACTCATGACTTGTGTTAGTTATGTGAAATAGCCTGCCATATTACTTTGTACGGTCAGGGCTTTAGTTAGGGAATGTTCATCTACATATTACAAACTGAAATCATGTTTCTTAATTCAGTTATATTGGTTGCATATACAAGTGATGCTAGTAAAAAGAATCTTTTACAACATTTCCTTATGGATTAGTATGTGATAATTTACCACAATCACTACTACGCTACAGAATGGAGCTATTTGTATTCAGATTGCTGGTGGTGCAGTCTTTCCTGTAAAATGCTTAAACATCAAGTGTCATTCTTCAGTCAAGATTAAGTACAGTATCCCAATTAAATTCCAAATGAGTACTCAGCCTGCCTGTAGATTGTCCTCATAGCCCTCAAACAGATAAAAGCAGTCTTCATCTGAAGTAGTGCTACATAATATTTTATACGTTCCAGCACAGAAGTGATGTTTTACAGGATAAGGGCTTTAAGCAACTTTACTCAAGTGGGAGTGATATTAAGGCAAATATGTTTTGCAACTCTAAAAGCTCTTTAGGGAACAATAACTCCATGGTAGGGACCAGGAGTTGTGTCCTGCAAAAAGTACCAGTGTTTAATTTCATTTAAGAACTTCTGATAGTACAGATTTTTCCAGTGAATTGCATATACACTGTAGTACACATATACAGAGTTGTGTTATGTAGGACAAATGATTTAAAAAGAGCTAAAAGATGGTTTAGACTAAGTCAGATAACTCTCCTTTAGAGTTCACTGCTGACTTGGCAGAAGACTGGTGAAAGGTGAAAAACCAATCCGGAGCCTTCAGTTCAAATTTCTATTTTTGCACCCAAATCTACACCCTTAAAACCATATTTGTTTCACTTAAACCTTCAGTTATTGCAAATCAAAGCCTTATGCCAAATAAACATGTTAGTCTTTAAGATGCCACAGGACTCATTTTTGCTGAAACAGACTAACACCCCTCTGAAACTTAGTTTTACTGTGACATCCCAGAAGGTTATGGACAAGTCTCTGCTACTTCTGTTCCCACCAGTATACACTAACAAGTGATATCAAATAAATAATATATTTTAATCAGAGAGCAAGTATAAAGAATAATAGCCATTAGTGAGCTTTACTTTTCTAAGCTCTGTACAACATTTACTGATCCCTAAAACCAGATCAGTAAAGTACTGTAAATAAGTATTCATCTTAGTCTCACAGCAGGGGAAAAGACTTACTAAATTACTTGACTATAGCCACACAGCAAATCAGTGGCACTGCAAGGATTAGAATTCCCAAGTGCCTACTCACAGTCCTCTTCTAAATTCAATGATCTAAATTGTCTCCACTTCTCTTACTCATACAAACCATTTACCTCTTCAAACCAGTGAGGATAGCAAATCCAGGTAAAGTTGAAGTGTGTCCATTTTAAGGCAAATTTTGACTCTCTAACAAAGGTATCAACCTAGAATGCCATAAAGTGGTTTACGTCAAAAAATTATTTTTAAAAGTTTATTTCCTTAGAGATATCTGGATTACGTCATTTAAAACCAATCATTCTAACTCTCTCAACTCTGAGAAGGTTTGGAATAAAGCCTTCAGCATTTCTACACAATAATAATCAGTAGAATCTAGCATAACTACCTTCTTTGAGGAGCTTTAGGACAAGAAAGTTTTCTAGGAGGCTTTCATATTGTATAAGTGAAACAGCATGGGGGTTCATATTAGGGATGCTAAATTAGATTAATCAACTAATCGAATAGTCGATGGATTTTCCATCAACTAGTTGATATGGGTGCTTCCACTCTGAAATGCAGCAAAAGCCTGCCCAGCTCTTACTACAGTTCTAAGGCAAAAGTGCCATGCGGTGTTCTACCTTTGAAACATATGAGTCCCTCCTGGGGCTCTTGTACATTTCAAAGCAGAAGCGCTGCACAGAGCCCGGGGTCAGCGGAGGGCTCACTGCAGGCTCCGTGCAGTGTTTCAATCTTATACATTTCAAAGATTTGTTTCCTTAGAGATATCTGGATTATGTGAAATAATAAAGCGCTGTAAAACTTAAAACAAAAATTGAGTTGTCTCCAAATTTCAGTTGTGTTGACGTAATCCCCAGACTTCTCTCGAGTACCCCTGAGGGTACTTGTCCCACTGGTTGAGAAACACTGGGATAGCTCACACACTAGTTGACTAGTTGCTTCCCCTCCACTTGCTGCCTCTATCAGAAAGAGGCAGCAAGCGGAAGGGGGGGAGGGAGCGGGGGAGAGAAGCTAACAGGTTGCTGGGAGGAGCTGGCTTAAAAGCTGGTTGCCCCCAGTTCCAGCTCCGTTGTAGGGGTCTGGGATACAGCCCTCAGGGGTACTCGAGAGAAGTCTGGGGGTTACGTCAACACAACTGAAATTTGGAGAAAACTGAATTTTTGTTTTAAGTTTTACAGCGCTTTATTATTTTTGTACTTTTTACACCCAAAAATTTCATCGCCCACCCGGCTATGATTAAGGTGTTTAAACAAATATGTTGCAATGGTAGAAAAAAAAATGCGTGTCTGAAAACTGTAAGTAGTGGGGGTACTTTTTTGGGGGAAGGAGGGGAAAAATGGGTACTTTATAGAAAAAGGTTGAGAAACACTGGACTATCTGATAAGCTTTTGCTTATCGGAGAGTTGACTAGTCGCTTATATCCCTAGTTCATACATCTTGCAAGCATAAATGGCATGACTTGCAGGATAAACAATTGAAATTTACAGGCATGTATCTATTTTTCTATTACTGAACTTGTGAAGTTTCTAGTCTCAGTAAACTGAAGACGATGAGCCCATGCAAGAGGGTCTCAAATTACAAAGATGTGCCAGAAGAGCTCTCTCCTATTTACAGGAGAGAGAGTTTGTTACACTAGAGAAATCCAACAGGTGGCAAACATCTATCCAGATCTGAGCATAGCATTTGCTGCTGTAGGCCAGTCTATATTATGGAGGAGCAAGTTTTCAGGTGGGTCCCTGGCTTGGGAATGACCAAAAACATCCCTCCCCATATATATTAGTTGGTTCTCCCTAACTCCTGTATGTGTATTTCTTTCTCTCTCTCCCTCTCCCCCTATATATATATATATAAGTTGTTTATACAAATATGTTGCAATGGTAAAAAAATGGTATATATATAGGGGGAGGGGGAGAGAGAGAGAAAGAAATACACATACAAGAGTTAGGAGGAAAATTTTTAAAAAGTGAATAACTAAAAAAGGAAAAAAATAAATATGAGAAACTACAGAAGCAGTAATACAGAAAAAAAAGCTACCTAGAAGCATTAGCAAATCAGATATTGCAACAAAAGGGCCAACATAGTTTTCCGCTACACTGGTTTCACATCATAGAGCATGAGAGGTGATACTTCTACTAAAGTTGTATTCAAGGCAACTGTGTCTGGAATACATCATCTACTTGCAGCCACCTCATTAGCAAACCATATGAACTGCCTGCATGCAGTTCATAAAAAAGCAAAAAGAAGTGAGTTGGGGCTGGAGCACTTGACTTGCATTGCAAAAAGACTGGAATAGAAGAGTTCAATATATACAGGCTGACTAAGAGACATCAAAAAAGGGACTAGGTAATAATGCATAGTAGAAAATAAAGCACTATTAGAGGAAATAAAGAAAAGAAGAGTCTACTCCATGATACACAGAGAGAAAATGATACACTTCCCAACTGTGAAATCTATTAGAGGCTATGGAATAACCAACCAATCAGCAGAAGGGGTGAAATCCTCTCTATTGGAATATTTGAAACTAGAAGCTAACATGAAAACAATCCTGTATTTGTGGAGACAGTGTCTATATCAGGGTGGGCAATTTTTGCAGATGGGGCCACTCTAAGAATATTGGTAAATGGTCACACACTGCCCTTTATTATATTAATGGGGGGGGGTGGGACAGAGTTTGGGTGCAGGAAGGCGCTCCAGGCAGGTACTGGGATGCAGGCAGTGGGAAGGAGTGTGGGTCCAGGAGGGGGTTCTGTTCTGGGGCAAGAAGGGTGCAGAAGTGAGTACAAAGTGCAGACTTTGGCTCTGGGTAAGAGACGCTTACCACAGGTGCCTCCCAGCCTGCAGCACAGTGGGGCACTCAGACAGGCAAGCGGCCAGCATGCCATGGCAGACCCACGCCACTCAAAGTGGTCAGCTACTGCTGGCATACGTATGCCTGCACGCCTCTTATGATAGGGAAGCAGATTTCCCCATGCCCACAAAAACCATCCCCACAGCTCTCACTGGCTGGAAGCTGGCCAATGGGAGCTGTGAAGCTGGTACTGAAGGTGGGGCAGTGTGCCGAGACATGTTCCCTCCACCGCTCCAACAAAGGGAGTGCAGAGACACTCTTGCCAGCAGCAGCTAGCCATGATGCTTCCAAGACTGCCTGATCACTCTCTTGGGCCAAAAAAACATTTTCCTCCAGCCCCGGCCCGGGGGGTCATGGCAGGCTAGATCCAGCCTTAGGTCCATATTTTGCCCTCGCCTGCTCTGTATCATCAAGTAGGTTTTTTCCATCACCGATTTATGTATTTGTCTGGAAAACACTAGCATTAACTTTGTAATAGTTTGAGGGGGAAATACTCAACTTCCTGAAATATTTCATTACAATAAAAGCTAATGTTTTCATCAAAGAAGGATAGCTTGATTTTTCAAGTTCATGTGCTTAGCAGATTTTTCATTAATAGCAGCATATGTGTTCATAATGGCTGTAGTTTTTCCATTTCAGTGAGCTTAATTATCATACTTACTGAAAAATCCAAGGTACATGTTCTTGGATAACCTGGGATTCCTGGACTGAAACGCCAAACTGTTTCCAGGTGATTGAATAGTTTCCCATCTGTGCAAGATGCCTAGAAGAAAGATGAAGAGTTAAGCTAAAACTAAGCTTGTGTACATTAGGTATACAAGGACAAAGTCTTTTTTTTTTTTTGGAAGCTGGTCCTGAGAAAATTAATGTTTTCACATTTCACTACATATTAAAGGGCCCAGTGCAGCTAAGAATTCCTCTTGCATTAAAGTCAATATAAGACCAGTTTACCTAAAGTATTTCCAATCAAATTATCTGCATAAGAAGTAATTCTTAGGTGGAAAAAATTGGATGTGAAGGGGTATAATTTCTGTTCTCATATCCACACAACAGATTTAAGACCTGGTTCAGAAAACAAAGATAGATATATGTAGGACAAGCAGAATAATGCCCTAGTATTATACATTGCAATTATTTAGTTCTATTGTGCTGTAAGTACCATAGTTTTAATGAAGTATATTAATATTTAAACTTTACTATTTCTTATGTATAAAATATATGCATTGAAATGCCTCCAATATTTCTCATCACACCATATAAGTGATCTTAATTTGTAGATATTGTCTTTTGATGCTAACTAGTATTAGTGCCTAAAAGTTAAGCTACTGGTTGGTGCTGGCTTCATAAACTCCTCTGAGATTGGAAGATCAATGTAGCCCTTATTTTCACTCATTCTTCTTGCTATCCAAACCAGATTTTGGGCTGATCATACTTCCAGCAGAGAAGGACTGAACAATGCTCTTTCTTCACGAGAAATGCTAGGGATGTAATAGTGCAGTCAGTTAATCATTTAACTGATAAGCAAAGACTTTTCGGTTAATGCTACTGACTACACACATTCTCCCTTTCCCCTCCTGCAGCTCTGAGCCAGCAGCTCGGCTCAGTCCTGGCTCATGCTGGGACCTGGGAGATACACTGGCTGAGGCTCTGCATGAAAATAATTCAGGAGCCAGCAAGCAGGCAGCCCACCTCTGTTCCGGCTTGTGCTGGTTCCCAGGAGCAACCCCTCCAAGACTGCTCAGCAATAATACTTTCCTTCCAGAGCCACAGCGGGGGTAGCTCCCGGGATCTTGTGCAAGCCAGGACTGCCTGCCCACAGGCTTCACAATGACTTTCCCTGCAGAGCTGCACAGGGACTAGCTCCTGGAACCTGGTGCAAACTCCTAGGACCTGGCGTGAGTTGGGACTAACTGGTCTGCCGGCACCTACATTACTTTTCATAGTGATAGAAATGTAGCCCTGTTAGTCTGGTGTAGCTGAAACAAAAAACAGGACTATGTAGTATTAGAGGTGATAATTGGGGAAGCTATCTTTGTAATGGGTAAGGTAGTTGGTGTCTTTGTTCAACCCCCTGCGGAGAGTGTCGAATTTTAGCATGAATGACAGTTCAGAGGATTCCCTTTCAAGTGCAGATTTGAAAGTCTTCTGGAGTAGGATGCATGTAATTAGGTCGTTGAGACAGTGTCCTTTCTGGTTGAAATGGCAAGAAACTGTTTTTTCTTTGTGATCCTGTCTAATATCTGTTTTGTGGGCATTGATCCTTTGGCGAAGTGTCTGAGACGTTTGTCCAATGTACGCAGCAGACGGACACTTTCGGCACATGATAGCATAAATTATATTTCTGGATGGGCAGGAATATGTGTTCTTGATCTTATAACTCACTTAGAAAGGACATTGTCTCAACGACTTGATCACCTGTATCCTGCTTCAGAGGCCTTTTAAGACTTCACTTGAAAGAGAATCCTTTGAACTGTCATTCATGCTTCAATTTGACACTTTACACTCAAGTTTGAATAAAGACGCTAATTATCTTACCCATTCCAAAGATAGCTTCTCCAATTATCACCTCTAATATCATTAGCTCACAGACATTTACCTCCCCCCCATCTCCCTTCTGTTCCGAAATTTGATTTGTCCTTTTCACATGTGTTCATTTTTTTAATTGTATCCTTTGGTATATATGGTTGTGACAATTTTCTTCCACTATTTGATCTGAGGAAGTGGGTCTGGCCCACGAAAGCTCATCACCTATTAAACCATCTTGTTAGTCTTTAAAGGTGTTACTTTTCATACAGAGCCACAGTGGAGATAGCTCCCGGGATCTGGCATGAACCAAGACTGAGTGCTTGCAGCGTTACTCCTTATCGATTAATCACGTAGTCAATAGGGATGTTAGAGACTGAGTAGGCAACAACCCGATAAGCATATGCTTATCAAATAGTCAAGTCACTACTCAACTAGTTGCTTCCCCTCCCTTGCTGCCTCTATCTGATAGAGGCAGG